TCTTCTAGTGCAAAATGGTGTGTTGCAGCACCATCTGCGTCACAAGATGGGTTGGACGAAGCGTTAAATTATGCCTGCGAAAACGGGGCCGATTGTTCAAACATTCAGAGCAATGGACCGTGCTCCAGTCTCGACATCAAGGGCAGGGCTTCCTACGCATTCAATAGTTATTATCAGAAAAACCCCATTCCAACAAGCTGCAATTTCAATAGCAATGCCGTCCTCACCAACATCGACCCTAGTGAGTAGAGTCTCGTGTTAACAACAATACTCTTAGAATGTTTGAAAATGTTTTTAATTCGTACAAGACAACTAGCTAGTATGTTTTTTAGAAGAATGGGCAATTGTATTTATTTTGTTTTATTTTGTTCTATCTAAAGTCGATCTCATAGTATGCTCTACATGTTATTACTCTCAGGCACCGAAACATGTTCGTACCCGTCAACAAGGTGAGAGGAGTTGCAGCAGCTTGCATTCTCTATCGGGGAATTTACGTAAATAATACTACGTAAAACATAATGACTTTCCTTAAATAGCCTCACATGTGTTTTTTTCCAATGTAGCACTTTTAGTCATTATCCATTAGTGTCAAGAAACCAACTCAACCACAAGCTCAATCTTGTGGTTGTGGCCCAGGAATGATTGTTATATACTCTAACACGCCCCTCACGTGCAGGCGTGACCTCTTTGAGCCTTGCACGTGAAACCTTAATTTTTTTTAAACTGGGTGGCGGTGAGTTTCGAACTCGTGACCTCTTGGTCATCAAGGCTCTGATACCATGTCAAGGAACCAACTCAACCACAAGCTCAAGCTTGTGGTTATGGCACAGGAATGATTGTTATATACTCTAACAATTAGTCATTATTCAAGTAAATGTTTCCCATCACATGACATTATGGACATTATTAAGTGCTATTTAGGGAATAAAACAATTTAACTGCTATTTAGAGAAATGACTTAAGTTTTATTGCTATTTAGTGCAAGTATTTCTTGTCTATTTCCGTTTGTACATTCTTTAAGGTGTTTTTGTGTAAATTATATACTGTAATATATGGGAACGAAGTGGTTAATTATTGACTCGTTCGTACAAATGCAGCACAAGTTCGGGGGGAGTTTATAGTGATGTACCCATAGCACCTTCGCCCGCAAAAGCTCCATCAGGACAAAGCCACTTCGGCAGGAAATGTTACTTCATGCTCACATTTCTCATGTTGTCTCTCTTTCGCTGATGATCATTGTCATGTGTATCGGTCGCAACTCGTTGCGCTTTGATTATTTTCTTTTTATGTCGTCCCTTTTCTTGAGGGGAATTATTGCGCGCTTCTAATTAAAGTTTAAAAAGATTCTTATGAGAATATATTTTCTACATTGCTTTGAAGTATACAAGAATGGCAAATAAATATATAGAGTGGATTTTTTCCAATGCCTCTCCATTTGAAAGGGTATGGATGTCTTCCAATATATCTAATCTTGACATGTGGACTATTTTTTTGTTTAAGATTAGTTTTAATAATAGTTTTGAATCTAAAGACTAGAATTAACTAATTTAAATGTGGTATTAGATGTGGTCATATTAATTATTGTTGGGGGCTTATATACAAAAATTTTTTAAATTGTTTTTTACTGTATTACAAAAAAATAGTAGGGGGCATATGACCTCAACTCCATTAGAGTGCATCCGCAACTGGGTGTGCAGGGGGGTAGGGGTTTATGAACAGATGTGCTTTAATTTGAGATGTTGACAAGAAAATTGGTTGGATTCCGTGCTAGCAGAGGCAATGACTATCCGAGTGGCTTTATAATGTAAGAACCTCTATTCGGCCGTCTGTTTGTGGATGGGATGCAGTGCTTTGCTGGAGCGTGGTTCCACTAAGAGTGAACAACGTCTCTCGAAATTTGCTTGTAAAAATAATATCCGAATTTGATATAATAAAGCGTGGGAATCCTTGATGGTTGATGACAACCTCCAAGAACAACGCGACCACCTTGGGGGCATTAAAAGAACTTGGCAAGGCAACGAAATGGCCAGGGCATACTTTGAGAGGCGATCAACTAGGACCATTGTAGTCGCGTATCGCCGAGAGACAGGGGCAAACTGATGATGAAGTCCATTGTGACATCTTCCCACACACGGGCTGGTATCAGAAGGGGCTATAGTAACTCGGCCGACCTATCCACGCTTGGATGTCTTGCGCTTGAGGAAGCTTGGAATTCCTGCAACATAGCTATTTTAAGATTGGACGCGATCATGGATGGTGCCACTACTACAAAAAATAACAAATCGACTACCCCATGCCATTTGCATCGATTTCATAAAAAAATGATGCAAATGGGGTTTGATTTTTCTCCAACAGTCGGTTTTAGGAATAACCGATTCAATAGACTCTTTGAATCAATTATTCCTAATTAGTGATTCAATAGGTTGCGTTAAAAATAATTTCAGGGAGTCTATCTCCCTTACACGATCTATCTCATTTCTTCTCTCACTCTTCAGCTTTCATCGTCGCTTGAACCGCCGTCACCACCAAGGGTTCTCCATCTTTGTCGCTGTCGCCCCCTCTCCTTTGCCGTCGCTACCTCCTCATCCTACAGGCCGCCTCTCGCCTGTCAAAATCCACGATTTTCGTCGCCGCCTGTCCTTCGCCGTCGCGAGGGCCGACCCGAGGATGGGCCGAGCAGGCCTACCGGACCGGGCCCAATATTTTAAAGGACCCATTGTTTAAGTATTGTATATATATTAAAAATTAAAATATCAATATTCTAAAGTGTAAAGTGGGAGTCGAAGCTGAGTATTTTAGGATGTGTAGAGATGCTTCATCCACTTAAGCTACTAAACTCCTTGTTACAAAAGTCACGCAATAAGAAATATATCTATTGTGTTGATTTCATTAAAACTTGTAGTTATTTAGAAAAAGAAATATAAGTAGTATCAGGTATACTTGTTTTATGAGCTTATTAAAATGTTCAAAAAAATAATTAAAATTGTTTGTGTTTTATCTAAAAATATATTTGAATGCTTATACCTAAAAAATATTTTTTTCAAAAAATGAATACCAAAAAAGTTATTGTCATCAATACAAATTTAGAAATATCTATTAATTTTACTTTAATATATCAAAATTAATTTTTTCTTCTACTTTTTCTTGTTTTAATCAACATAGTACAAGTGTGATGTCTTACATCTGAATTACGGAGTATGATATAAGAATATATTGCCTAATATTTACTTTTTTTAAAATATGAGTATTGCCTAACTATTTTAGTGTTTATTAGATATTCAGTATTTATCTTTAATAGTAATAAGAAATAATATAAATAAAATAGAAAGTGTAACGATATATGCAGAATTATCGGCCCATCAGATTATTTAGAAAGACCTGATTCAAAAAGCTCTATTAAGAAATGGCGTCAGTTCTAAAAAGATTTTTTTTGAGTCGGTTGCTCCTAGACAACCGATTCAAAGATCCGACCTAGACCGAAGTTTTTCAAAAGATCCAATTCTTTTGATATATACTCCGGAAAATACTGGGCCTAGGCCTGAGGAGCAATTTGCCCCTCCAAGGCCGCTCTATGATAAGGAGTATTTGTGTTTTTCACTTTTTTTACTTGATGAACCCCATCCCAGGGCCCACACGTCATTAAAAGAAGATTATTGCAGGCTGCAGTACCTCTTCTCCCCAATCGCCAATCCCATCAGGCCATCATCGACGCATCCGATATCGACCGTCACCCGTCGTCCTTCAGACCAGCGCCTAACGGCACGCGGCAGCCGAGCATCGGAGCATCCATTATTCCATCGCCTGATTCGCCTCTTCCTTCCATTTTTCTTGCGAAGTTTCCGGTATGTATTTTCAATCGATTAACGCGAATTTAGGCTTTTCTAATAGGGAAGTTATTGAATTTCTTGTTCAACTTTAGAGCTTAGTAGTATAGACTTTTTTTTTTTTTTGCTTAATTTGAGTTGGAGATTTTTGATTTGCTAGTTGTTAAAATTTCGAAATGCATTTTCTAACCCAAAAGTTTAAATAGATAAGGAGAGCTTCACCCGATATACCATTACTTTTTTCGATGTGTGAATTCTAACACTTCCCTCCAGTATAACTAGCATAGCCTAGTTAGCATTTTGACAAACATGTCTGGCATCTCAATCTCTTATAACTTGCCCACACAATGAGCCATGACATCTCAATCTTTTATAGCCAATGCAACCCAAATTACAGACAGGTAGCTGATATTGCTAAACCACGTCTAAACAATCTGGGAGAATCAAATCCGGACCAAACCTGCTTTGATACCATGTTAAAATTCTACGATGTCGAGAACAATGTGCATGGTGTCGGATGAAATTATCCACTTGCATATAAAGTTAGGATCTAGCTTCTAACCTAAAAGGTTAAGTTGATAGGTACAGCTTCACGGGTATTTCATAACTTTTTCCGATGTGGGAACTTTAACACTAGTCTAGTAGTCAATGATGTCATATAATGTTTAAAAGAACAAATCTGTTATGGTTGTTTTTTTTTGTGATCTATTTAAGACTCAAATCTGAAGTTTAATTTAATTGAACCAAGTAGTGTAGCTAATCAATGATGTGTTTTGAATTAAGAAACAAAACATACAATCAGATTTGTTGTTTCAAGTAGAAAACAAAAATCGTTCAGGTTGTCTTAGATACTTATGACAATGACAATTGACAACATGAAGGGTTTTATTAAATACCAACAATGCCCCAACATAAATAGTGAATCATATGGGTATTTTTGGCATTTCCAATGCCCGACATTGAAAAGGCAATAATATTTGTGTTTGGCCTTTAAACGGAAATGATGCCCCGCTCGAGCTCGAGAGCGAATGAGGTGGATCACATAGATTTTACATGTGTTTTTCGTATAAAATTATGTATGATTTGTAAAGTCTTTTTTTATTTGGAAGTTTTTTACAAACAAGGCTTTATAGTTTTGATTTGAATTGAATGGCAATCAAGACTTGGCTTTCATAAGATAAGGAAGGCATTATATTGTGGAAAGTAACAATACAGATTAGTTAAGTTTTGTGCTACTACTTAATTAGCTAGCTAGTGATTCTCAACAATCCCATCATTCCCAGCCAACATCAAATACTTGTCTCTTCTTGTAAGAGTGGTGCACTCAAACCCCAAAGCATCAGCCAGCTGTCTCTGTATGTAGTTAGCCACCTCAAAGCTAGACTTACCACCACCCCCACCACATGTCATCTCTTTGGGAACTTTCCCAAGGATGTGGACCCTGTAAGTGGGCCTAGGGTTCATCAAGAAGAAGAGTGGGTCCAAGCACTTGAGCCCACTTGCAGTGGTCCCATAGAACATGCCCACACTTGTGTCCATAGCCACTGGCACAATCTCATCAGCCAGCTCTGCAAACAGGGAGCTAAACCTCAGCAGGTATGGCTCCCTGCAAGTGGTCCCCTCTGGGCAAACCACCAAGTCCCCTTCCCTTAGCATTCTCTCCATCGTCGCCCCGTCCTCCTTTCGGTCCCTTTTCAGCCTAACGGTCCTTATCGGTGCCAGTATCTCTGACATTTTGCTCAGGCTGTAGGTGACCGCGGTCAAGGGCTTGGCAAGAACAGTACTCAGAAAGACCGGGTCAAGGAGAGTCCGGTGGGTGCAAACGTAGAGGACCCCTTTCCCGTTCTCGGGCCTCGGAGGATCGCTTCCCTCAACGCGGATCTCCATCCCGGTCAGGCTGCCCAAGAACATGGCCGCCTTGTAGGGCAAGCATGTGCCTATGAATATTCTGAAGATTGCCAGGAGAAGTCCCACGGGCAGCCAGATGAACATGGCTAGGGCAGAGAGGGGAGTTGGAAGGAATGCTAGCCGCCCATCATGGAATATCAGTGGCTTTGGGTACTTCTCCCTTGGGAATAATGGTGGGTCCCCACTCTTGTTCTTGTTTCCCCTGTCGTTTACCACGTATGCTTCCTGCAGTCATCCATTATTGATGAGTTTAGTTTCACTTTATTACTGCGAGCAGTTAGAAAAATATTTACCGAGATGCATATAAATCATGACCTTCCTATGATTCTTTGTCTCTTGTTACTTTATTACTCATTTACTTCTTGTGGACCGGACATATGTAAATAAAGCCAATGTGGTTCTCAGCCTTTTTTTTTAATGTTAGGTCATGACAATTATGATTTTATCTCTCACCCACACACGAAAGTTAACATTTAATATCGTGTGGTCAAATATATGAAAATAATTAAGAAAACAAAACAGCATAAAATATCGTGAGGTGTTTCACCAACTCCATGTTATTATACAGCATAAATCTATGCATGTTTTGTTTGTGTTTTGACCCAAAAGCAACGATTCTTGCGGGGTATGATAAATGCATTTTGAACTAGCAATATGCATAGACAGGTGATATTTTGAGTATTTTGAGGTCCGGATGTAAATTATAGGCTTCACTCTTTGACATTAAACGAAAATAGTAAAAAAATAATAAAAGTATAAATAAATAAATTATAAATGCCAACGGCTCATCAAACCTGCTAAAAACTACTAATTGATAATTCTAGTACGGAGTATATATATCTCACTATTTTTGAAACATAAATAAATGACAAAATATTAAGAAAAATATAATTGAATGATTGATAGTGATATTAAAAAAACAAAGTAAAATAAAATAATCATGAATTACTTACACATATATGATTAAATTCAGAACTAGATAAAAATATTGACACTAGACTATCACGCTCGGTCTCTACACGACCACCGTGCGTGACGAGGGCGTGATGTTCTGCTTGTGATGGCGGTTACAGACCCGTCCCACCTCTGCATCTTCCCGTTCCAAACAGCTAAAAACCGAGAACCGTTTGGCTCTAATTTATTTAAAAAATTGTTTAAGCTTTATTCACTTTGTTGGTCTATTTTCATTATCCATTTGATAAAATAATATAGCCATGTCACCTCTAGTTTTGTAGATCTTTTGATATAGTTTTTTAATATGTAATTTTTATTTTTTTAATTCTACACAATTTTTCATATAAAATGATTTTAAAATAACTTCAGTCAAATATTGTACTCCTTCCGTCCCATTTTATATTGCCTGTTTTGAATTTGAAGCATATTTAAGGAAGTAAAAAATGGTGTTGACTTTCCAAAAATGCCCATACTTTTTTAAAGGGATGACGATGAATGAGAAGATAAGGTGGAGAGGAGTGATTTATTTTAGGGGTAGTTTAGATATTTTGTCTTTAAAGGTTTACTATAATAAGAAACAGACAACTTATTTTGGGACGGACAAAAGAGGAAACTAGACAATTTAAAATGAGACAGAGGAAGTAACACACAACATGAAAATAATTTTAGGATGTAGGAAGTATACTCTATATATTTTGTTGAATTTAAAGGTAAAAATTGAATACAATCAATTATAAAAAATCAAAACTAAACAGATATTCAAATAACTACCATTGTACCAAGCATATAGAAAAGGGCGAGATAAGTTGGTAGAGTAGGAGTGCACTGTAGTGTTAAAGACCTACACATTATTTTCGAGCTCAAACATTCTTTTTGTTTTTTAGGAGGCAAAAAAGAAATGCGTCCCACGAGTCATACATGCAATGCAAGTGTTATCCAGATTCTGTCAGTAATCATTCCTGCTTTATTTTTGAATTCCATGGCCCATCGGTTAACGTACTTCATTCAAATGGCCGGTTCCATCGGTTCCGAACCGGGACTATGTTGATAAGTTCTCCTCTAATTGTGACTACTAGTATTCTTCTAGTGAAATTTGCACTAAATAGAACTAAAACATAATGACTTTCCTAATGTAAGACTTAAACTTTTTTATTTCTTAAATAGGATTTAATAATGATCTAGTGGGAGGAATAATGTCCAGTAATGATGGACATTTACTTGAATAATGACTACTTCATAATGACACCAAAGATCCTACATTGGGAAATAAAAACATATGGTCCTATATTGGGAAAGTCATTATGTTTTAGTCCTATTTAGGTAAATTTCTCATTTCTCTATGTATAAACGATAGAAAGATATTTACATACCACTCAGTAATTTTTTATATTGGCCCCTCCAAAATCTATTACGGAGTATTATGTACTACTCCCTCCGTCCTAAAACTTTCTTCTCGGTTCGCAAAACGAAGAAAAATCCCAACTTTTTTAATCTATTTTATTTAAATATTGGTATAGAAATAAAAAATAAAAGATACATATTTAAAAACTACATCAAAAGTTCAACAAAACAAGTGGTGACAAGAATATTTTATTTTATCATATAGGCCATTAAAATATACAAATAAATATAAATTTCCGTGAAGTTGGAATAGTGCACTGGGAAGAAAGTTTTAGGACGGAGGGAGTATTACATAAATACTCGTATTATATTTTTGGAATACCAATAGTAAAAAGTAAGAGTAAATTCCATAATTGGTCCTTTATAACAAGGGGGTTTCCATATTTAGTCCTCTATTATCAAATATTACCCCCGTAGTCCTTTTTTTAAGGGTACCTTTCCACAAATGGTCTTTTTTTTGATCTTCTGCTGTGTTGGTGTTAATTTAAAGGCTAAAAATATAATTTGACGTCAACATTATGTCTAGTGACGTGTTCTGATATTGGTTAAGCGGATAACACAAAAATAATGACTATGATTGTGGGCTAGAATTCTGATGAAAGATCACATTTGTAGACTATAGTTGTCGTAAAAAGTGACTGTAATTCACAAACGACACAAACGGAACAGCCTTTGGAATTGTGTATGACAAAAAAGATATATTATCATTGTGAAATTACACTTTTAGCCCTCAAATTAACACCAACATGATAGAAGATCAAAAAAAAGACTATTTGTGGAAAGGTACCCATAAAAGAAGGACCACTTGGGTAATATTTGATAATAGAGGACTAAATAGGGAAACCCCCCTGTTATAAAAGACCAATTATAGAATTTACTCAAAAAGTAATGTGTTAATATTATTTTTCTATATAAAAATGCATACTCAATTTATATACCAAGTATTATATAAACATATACTCATTCCGTTCTCAAAAAGAGTTCTAATTTTGACCAAGCGTAAAATTAAGAAATTGTTAAATTGTAGTTGAATTTCAATTTATCTTTAATGTGATGTATAAGAGTAAGATCTGATGAATACATTATTAGAAAAAAAAAGTATGACGTGATGGATAGGGTATGAAAAAAGTAAGAGTAAACGTAGTTTTTTAATAAAAAATGAATATGTTTAGTTGGAAGTATAAAAAATGAAAGAAGTAATTTTTAAAAAGAGGGAGTATTTAAAAAGATTCTTTTTGGGACAAACATAGTGTTACTCTGTATTTAAATATTATACTGCATTGTCCGGAAAAAAATCTTGCTAAATTTTAATTCTTTTCGTCAATTATTTATATTATGAATATACATTGGGAAAATGGTATAACTAGGGATAATGTAAATTTAATACTCCATCCATCCCCCCCCCCCAAATCTTCTCATTTTGATTTTTTGTTGTTTTTAAGGTGAGTTAAAAAGGTAAAAGTTTACCATAATACCCTTAATGAAAATGGGTGGAGTGTATTAAATGAGGTAAGTGAGGTGTAATAAATAAAGTAAGTGGGGGTAGTTGTGATATTTTAATTGTTAAAAAAAGTAATGAGAAGATCTATGGGGGACAAATAAAAAGGATAAATGAGAAGATCTATGAGGGACGGAGAGAGTATAATATTGGAATATATAAATTCATAGGGAGTACTTATTAAATATTAATGGTCAAAGTAGTCAAAATGTGTAAAAAATTGACGAGTAAAATCAAAATGTGAATATTTTTTTTTGGGCAAATCAACATTTCAAAATTACGTTTCAAAATGTGGTCAAATTTTTAAAGCTATTGACTAGAAAAATCAAAATGAAAACAAGAATATGAGAAAAGGAGAAAATAGCAATGCTCAATAATATAGAGTAATTAAAAAAATATTTGCACTGAATAGCACTAAAACTTAAGTCATTTCCTAAATAGTACTTAAATTATTTTATTCTCTAAATAGCACTTAATAATGTCCAGAAGGACAAATAATGACCACTGATGGCAAACATTTACTTGAATAATGACTAATGAATAATGACTAAAAAAATGTTACATTGGAAAAAAACACATATGATCCTATTTAGGGAAAGTCATTATGTTTTAGTGCTACTAAATTCCTCTTAAAGAAGAAAAGCTAATTGTGAAGTGAGGCGAAGCGTACCTTACAGAGCGAGAGAAAAAGGCGGTCATGGATGCCGGAAGTGGCCACTCCAATGTCAGGCATCTTCTCCCCAAAGACCTGTTTCAGAGCCCTGTGTTTCACAAGAGGCCCAGAACCAACCACCAAGCCCGTGAAGAACCCTCCCAATGTGTGCAACTCCGTGCCCTTGACAACATCAACCCCGAGATACTCCTTGAGAAACCCTTCCACCATCACCCTGGGGACACCGGTGATGACAACCCTAGTCCCGGCCGAAGCCAGGGTGCCGTAAACGTCGGGGTCGAGGTTTTCAAGGTAGAACTTGGGGAGCACCGCTCTCCCGACGCAGTCCATTTGGGCCTTCCTGAGCCCAAAGAACGTGACGAAGATCATCGCCCTCAGCCCGAGGTTGACCGAGTCCAAAAGCCACACGAACGGGAAACTGAGGAGCAGGAAAACCGCCCGGAGAATGCTGCCGCCTTCAAACGCCACCAGCATGAAGTATGGGAAGAAGGAGTGGGCCGAGGGTCCCGCCGCGGCGAGCAGACCGCCCTGCATGTCGCAAACCAATGTTTGGTTTTTCCTCTCGGGGTGGTGTGGGTTGTATTTTGTGACATGAGGGAGGTTATTATAATTATTATTATTGTTGCTAGTAGTACTAATGTTGTGTAGTGGTTTAGAAGATGGGTTCGTGAAGAAGAAGAAAGTGGATTTTTTGATGAGGTTCGTGGCGGTCTTGTAGCAAGACTTAGCCAGGACTTGGTAGAGGAGCCACTGGGCTAGCTTGAGGAAAACCATTGGGAACACCATATTGGTAGCCGACTGTCTCATTGATTCTTTCAACGCTACACCAACGAGCAAGACAGAGATGAGAGAGTGAGTGAGAGAGTGAGAGTGAAAGGATATTATTGGCAGCATATATATATATATATATGTGTGTGTGTGTGAGGAGGGAATTTATAAAAGAAAGCAAGCATATACAAGCTCAAAGGTCCATCATGCAATGAAGGTGAATGAACTCCCAAATCGAGTCAAACTAGCCCAATAAAGAAAAAAGTAATGCAGATTTTGCCTGTTCAAAGCTAAGAGTAATTCCCCCCTTTGTATATAATTTAAAGAAAGTACCCTTTATAAATAAAAGTTAATACTGATGAATGCGTATAAATCATGACCGTCCTATGATTCTTGTTTTTGCGTTAGTTTATTTACGGAGTACTTCTTGTGGACCGGACATATATATAGAGCGGTGTATGTAGAGCTAGTGTGGTTCTCAGCCTTATTTATGTAATTATGTTAGGTCATGACAATTTCGAGTGTTATATTGTACTTCTTCCATTCTAAAAAACACTTTCTCTTTTATTTATTTCACTTTCAACAAAATACTTTAATTTTTTATTAAAAATCACGTTTACCTTTACTTTTTCTTATCATACATATCACATCATACATTTTCTCTAATAACCTATCCATCACATCAAAAGAAAAATTAGAAGTCAACTACAATTTAACACTTCCTTATTTTTACACTTGTTCAAACTAGGAACCCTTTTTTAAAACAGATGGAGTAAATAAGTCTATACATAGATTGTATCATGTACCCCAAAATGTATCTCAAAGGTTTACACTTATATTTTGTATCAGTGTAAGTGTGAGATTAACGACTTACATTGATACGAAATGTCAGTGCGAATTTTGAGATTATACTAACATTTTGTATCAATGTAACTCGTCAACTTTCAGCCGAACGGTGCATAGTCCACAGTTGGTTATCCCTGATGTTCTGTCATCTAGTTAATATCAAGGATAATATCAAACTCTTAGTATGGCAGTTCTATCAGATTCACAAATAGTTGTTGTCCATTAGCAGTAAGTGGACAGTTCCGCAACACGTGATGTAACCTAATCGTCAAAGCACCTTACTAGTTTGACAAACAACCCTTGCCAATACCATTCTCTCCGAAATTTTACAATGGCTACCTCAAACCACTTACAATAAAGATTTCACGGCTTTCGTTAACTGTTACAACCTGAGAATTTAACGGCTATTCTCGATCGTAAAAAAGGTGTGTTTGAAGAACATGAAACTTGGTTCTACACAGCGGCTTAATCACAAGGATGAAGAACAAATTAAACTTAGCCGGTTTATGACAAAAATATACTCTCCAAAAGATACAAAATAAACCAATAGATTTGAGAGTATATCCCTAAATCACAAGCTCAAAGTGTGTGCATAAAAAATCAGGAAAACAAGCTAAGGCTCTTAAAATAGCCAAAATATAAGAATGAAGAATAAAGAGATGAACACTTGAAATATGAAGTATAATGTTTGGAGCTTGGGTTCATGTAGAAAATTGAAGGATTAAGTCATTAATTATAGTAGAAAATGTTAATGAGTTGTTAGAGGGTGATTAGGATAGGTTTTGACCAATTAAAGGTGATTAGATTTGAAATGCATAGTTTGAATTTTTTTCCAATGGCAACGGTAGCTAGGTACTGGTTATACGGTATTGAGGTACCAGCTCATCATAAGGTAGGGGGTACTGTGAGTGGCGGTAGATATATAAGTACCGTCTCAGGCCATTTCGCTATGGCGGGACCTGCACTTGGCGGTATCTGGGTACTGTGTCCGCCGCTATAGCCTACTGTGTGGCGATATCAAGGTACCGTGACAGGTACCGGGCCATTGACATAGTTTTTCAAAAATTTGCTTAATCCTTTCCGTTTGAGTTCAAAACCTTTTGGATATTTGAAAATGTCACTACAAGAATAAGCTAGATCTGCAACGACAATTTGCTACGGACATTAGTCTGTCGCAGATCTGCTATGACTCTGCGATGGAAATCTCAAATTTGAAAACCCACTTAATATTTGCTACGGAGCACAAGTATCCGTCGCAAATCTGCTACAAATTGATAAATTCCCTAGCAAAAGTTTACTTAACAAAAACCTTATCCTCTTTTCGGATTATAGCCTACCACAAACAACCCAAGTTTTTTTCGTTGCAGCCGCTTACGCCGATTTTGGTCTACGCTGATTGCCGCCTCGCCTCCTCGCTGCTCGT